AAAGGGAAGGACTTTGGCCTTTCCCACAGCCCTTCCCTGCCTTCTCTCCCTGGGCGACCCTGCAGGCTGGGGATGAACTCACCGTCTTTCCTCACACCCCAGCATCGTCGCTGTGTGAGCCGGTGCTGATCTTCCAGATTGTTTTGCCGTCCAGTTCTTTCTCAGTGAAAACATAAATCTTTTTTTTGTGTTTGAGAGTAAAATATTCGAGATGCCCATCGAACTTCTCAGAACCACCTTTCCTCCTGGGCATGGATAGGAGTGTCCATCCCCATGTCATTTGGGACTTGCCTTCCCATTCCACAGGTGCCCTGGTAACCAGACGCTGCACCTGTGCTTTGGAGGAAACAAAGACTGCTGAGACACGCTGAGTGCTGAGTATTGCAGGGTGAATGGAAAGTGTGGCCTGGCCCTGAGGGAAGTGGTTCTGATTTCCAGGTTTCAGCTCCCACTCTTAAAGGGGCAGGCACTGTCATAGAGTAGGCGGCGGGGGAGGGGGAGGTGGGGAGACCTGAAGCCCTCGACTGCAGTGCTGTCTGCAGAAGGTGGTGGCCGGGCAGCCTTGCCAGGGACATAGCACTGGCATATGCCTGCCCGACAGAGCGGGCACTGGGGAACGTCCCAGTCCAAGATGGCACCAGCACTGGCCCAGAGACGGGGGTGTGAAGGGGGCCTCCAGAGGACTCGGGGTGTGGTCCTCAGTCAGGCACGCGCGCGCAGGCGGGGCTGCATCCACTGGGATGGTGCTCCCGTGGGGCAGGATGGGCGGTGCAGGGGCAGGAGTCCGCTGACCTGTGGGGCTGGCTCAGCGTTTCAGCCCGAGGCTGGGGGACCAGGCACTTGGATTGCCTGGCACCCCTGCCCCTCAGGTTGAGAGAGGGCAGGTGGTCTGGTCGCTCTAGTGACGAGCAGGAAGGGAGCGAGTGCCGGGCGGTGAAGAGAAGCCGCGTCAGAGTGCGACTCTCTGCCGCGGGAACCCTGAGGAGCTGCTGGGGGCGCTGGCCGCCGGCTGCCCCGCCCCGCTGCACCCTGCCTTCTCGGTGCAGTTCCTTAGGCCTAGCTCCTTCAGGGTCTGGAGGAATTGCCGAGAGGTTCACTGCTGCCTACTGCCTGTGTGGGGGTGCTGTGTTCCGCGTGGCATTCACCAGTGTGACGATTGTTCTCAGGGCACGTGCCAGGAACCATAATGGATCTGGGGTGTCCTGAGACGTCAGTGTTCTGCAGGGCAGGGCCAGCAGCTCAGCTTTCTTTGTATCCCCAGAAGCCTCCTACTGTGCCTGGCACACAACCAGTGTGTAATTGACGTTTGTTGAATGAGTGAAAGGGAAAGTCACTACATCATTGTCTGAAGGGAAGGGAAAGCCTCAGGCTGTTGCAGGAAGACACCCGTTTCCCGGAGGTCACGTTGGGATTCAGTCTAACTTAGGGAAGGGAGGTGAGGGCAGAGCCCGTGGTCGCCCCAGTAAGTCCTCAAGGTGAAGCTTGTCCCCCTGCACCTGCTGTGTCCTGGGCGCCTGGCCCCTCACCCTCACTGACAAACCTGGGGCTGCTTCTGCACCTCTGGGAGGAAGGAGCCACGCCTCAGGGCTTGGTTACCCTGGGTGTTTTCTCCCTGAATTTAATCAACCTGAAAGAGGAATTCTGTTTCCATGTCTGCAGGCTTGTGAGTAGACTGCTAGGGACCAGAAGATTCGGAGGAGCTGGGAGACTGGGGCGCACAGGCCGGGGGCCTCACGGGGCTCCATGGAGCCACAGCCATGTCAGGGCTGTGGGTGGGGGCTTGGGCTGCGGGGTTCAGAGAGGAGTGTGGGCAGGGTGGGGGTAACACACCAGGAGGGAGGCTTCGGGAGGCGTGGCCAACACAGGATTTGAGACTGCATTCATGGCACACTGGAGTTCCTTCAGACTTTAAAATTCTGTTTTGCTTGTCTCTTACTGATTGGTTGGTTGGTTGAATCATTGTTATTGTTTTAAACGATGAGAGCATAGTCTTCTAAATGGTCTGAGGAGGCCCTTTCTTAGATTGCAGAGGTTGTTATGACCACCCCTGTGTGCTAACTGCTTTCGTGGGCCAAAGCTGGCGGCCTGGTCTCCGCTCAGGGCTGGGCAGCAGGCGTGGGCACCTCTGCGCCCTGAGCCCCGCGTGGCCCGACACTTGGTGGCCAGAGTGCCCAGCCACAGGCAGGGTGCCCTCAGAGCCTGTGGTGGTGGCACTGAAGCCGTGTCCCTGAAATGATGGAAACGAAACCAGCCCTGGAGAAGAATGTGATAAACCGCCTGTGAAGACTGGGCCATGAGGAAGAGAAAGCACTGGGGTGTGAGCCCAGAGATGTGTGTTCCTAGAAGTGGATCAGTTGTCTCCGAGTCCTCTCTCTCTGGTGGAACAGCTGAGTGGCGGCTTCAGCCTGCTGAGCCTTCAGCACCAGGGGCCCAGAGCCGCCAGGAAATGTGGTTGAGCCTCTTGGCCAGAGGCCACACAGGCGTTTGACTTGCGTCTGCGAAGGCATGCTGTAAGGTCCTGGGGCTCTGGGACCCAAAGCGTTTGTGTCCCCATGCCGTACACTGTCGTGATGTGGTCAAGCCACGCCAGAGGCGGCCAGTTGGAGGAAGGGCAGGGAAGGCAGAGCGAGAGGGGCTGGGTGTGTGGCCAGAGACAGGCGTGGCCCTCCTTCCCCTCACCTGTCTGGGGACGCCACCCCAGAGGAGGACTCCTTCAGGCCCCATCCTGTTCTCGTGGCATGCGGAGGTGCGGGGGGTGGAGTCGCTCCACCGTGGACTGCAGCACGCCAGGCTTCCCTGTCCTCTGTCTCCTGGAATTTGCTCACACTCATGTCCTTTGAGTCAGTGATGCCATCCAACCATCTCATCCTCTTATCACTCCCTTCTCCTTTTGCCTTTGGTCTTTCCCAGCATCAGAGTCTTTTCCAGTGAGTTGGCACTTTGCATCAGGTGGCCAAACTATTGGAGCTTCAGCATCAGGCCTTCCAATGAATATTTAGGACTAATTTCCTTTAGGATTGACTGATTTGATCTCCTTGCTGTCCGAGGGACTCTCAAGAGTCTTCTCCAGCACCACAGTTCGAAAGCATCAATTTTTTGGCACTCAGCTTTCTTTATGGTCTAAACTCAACTTGGTGGGAGTCTTCAAAACCTCCCTGTTCTTGGCTTGACTTGTCAAATTTGATGACAGCATTTCATGTTATGTTACACAGCAGGTATTCACTTTGGATAAATGATAAGGCCTGTTGGGGTATATGATAAAGTCAGCCTCCTATCCCCTCTCCAGCCACCCAGCCCCCTGCCTGGAGACCCCAGCGCCACGGGCTTCTCGTGTCTTCCCCGTAGGTGTTCCGTGTGCGAGTCAGCAAGGGTGTGTGTGTGTAATGTGTAGACAGGGTCACGGTGACCCTAGTCCCGCCCGGCTGCTGTCCCGCCCTTGTGCGCTGGCCCGCCCCTCCTCCCCTGGCTGTACCCTGGTGCTCTCCGCTCACGGGGACATAGTTTCTCTTTGTTTGGCCCAGCTGCGTGGGGTCCCCCTGCCAGGCTGTGCTATGGATTCTTTAAGCAGGGCTCCGTTGATGGTTGCGGGCTTTTGCCAGCCTGTGCTTGGCACGCGTGTTAAGTGCCCTGCACTGCCCCAAAGCGTGGATGGAGTATCCTGGCTGGAGGGAGAGCGGGGGCTTAGACTGTAAGATAGGCTTCTTTAAAATACTGCCCTCTAGTTACATACAGACCTTTCAGACTAACCCGTAGCATCCTGAATGAGGCTTGTCAAGGCCACCCGGACCCAGCTTCTAGAACAGTGGTTCTGAAGGGCTCTCCTCTGCCTGGCTCACCACAGGGCCGAAAACCAGGAGCTTCAAAAGGGTCTGCGGGGTCTCTTCTGATAGCCGGGACCGCACTGTGCCTGGGGAGTGCGCCGATTTCCGGCTGTAATGTTGTCTGCCTGAGGCTGGCCCTGGTTGGGCCCTCCCAGGGTTTCAGCTGCTCCCACCGTCAGGCTGTGTGTCTGGGAGGGAGGGGGACGACCTGGACGTGGGCACTGTACACGTGGGTGGTGGGTGGTTGTCGTCAGCTTCTCCGTCTGCGAGCTGGCCCGGGTGGTTTGCCCTGCAGTGGTTATGTGGTGACATCGCTGAGCAGTGGTGTACAGGCAGGGGCATCTTCAGGGCCCCCCTTCAGTCCCAGGAGGTGGGGTGGTGGAGGCTACTGGCACCTGCCTGCCTGCGCGCGTTCCCTCCTGTATGCAGTGGGCCGGGGATGCTCCAGGGAGAAAGGCGCGGGGACAGGCCCCCCTCAGGGTTGTCCCAGGAGTGTGTTATGGGAGCCTGCATACAAGCCCCCACGGGATCTCAGAGGATCAGGCCAAGCTGCAAAACCTCCCCTGGCAGCGAGGGCGGGCAGGTGTTAGACGCAGGCCCCCAGAGGCTCCCCCGGCCAAGGAGCGCTGAGGGTCTCTCCTCCTGCCGGCTCAGTGCCAAGGCCGCTGTCCCCTTTCTGGCCTGGTGGTGGCTGGTCGGGAGCCCAGCCCTTGTACCTGTAGAGGTCAGAGAAGACAGCTCGGGGGCTGGGAGGGCTGCGCTCAGGAAGCCAGTGGGGTTCCTCTTTCTGTTCATTTTTTTCTTTAGAACAGTCTTGAGGTTTGGAGGCTCCGCCCTGAGCCTGCTGTGGCGGGCTGCTCGGCCCGTGAGAGGGATGGTCTTCGCGTCCCTTGCAGGCTGGAGTCAAGGTGGGGGACTCCTGAAAGGGGGCGGGGAGGGCAGAAACACCCTGGGATCTGGCCTCGTCCATGCAGAGCCCGGAGAGCAGCCGCCAATGCCAGAGGAAGTAGGATTGCACATGGTGCATTTCGAAACTGGGACCCACCCTATCCCCAAGAAGGAAAACTGGGAGCGGGGCGCCATGGAGCCAGGCTGCAGAGATGGAGAGCAGAGGGCAGGGGGCCCGGTGTTAACGCTGCATCCTCTGCGGCCCTGCTGGCCCTTCTTCCGGGCTCTCAGGGCGGGGGTTGCAGGCCCCACGCCAGGGATCCGCCTCTGGCCGCTGCTTTGGCAGCTGCAGGGCTCATGGCTGAGGGAGGTGCTCCTGCTGCGTTTGTGGAAGGTAAGGGGCCTGATCACCGCTCATGGTTCCAGTGGTCGGGGTCCTCTTCAGTGAGGTCAGCAGAGGTCTCCTGTGAAACAGCGGAGGTATGGCACTGAGTGTTTAAGGCTGCCGTCTGTGGCAAAATTTTGTATTTATGTAGGATGAGCTAAGGATTCGGGCAGCCTTGGAAACTCCCTTTGAACAGTCAAGAGAGCCAGTATGTGTGCAGGAGGCTTCTGAGTGTCGGCAGGATTAAGGCAGCATGCGGCTGTGTGCGCAGCTCACAGGCTGGCTGGTGGTCCCGCGCGGGGGCAGGCACTCCCTCACTGACCGAAGTCCTTGACTTCCTGCCGCGTGCCCGGCAGTGTCCTGGTGGCCTCACCGTATTTCTCATGTCGTCCTCTACGTCAGTGTCCTAGGCTCGCTCTCACAACTTCCCACCAGCTTGGTGGCTGAAAGCAGCAGAACTTAATTCTCTCACTGCTCCAGAGGTTAGGAGTCCAATCAGCATCACAGGGCCAAGACCACCATGTCAGCAGTGCCGTGATGGCTCAGAGAGGGGTCCAGTCCGTGCTCATCCGGGGTAGCTGCTGGCTCCCCTCGGCTCGTGGGCCCCCGCCCCATCTAGGCCGGGCTCTGTGGCTCGGCTTCCGTCCGCTGTGTCGCGTGGCTCTCTTCTTCTGAAGTCTCCCTTCATGTCTGCCTTCTCAGGACGCTCACAGTGGGCTTAGTGCCCACCACATAGTCCAGGACGGCTCCCTCCTGCAGGGCCCTCAGCTTAGTCGCGTCTGCAGAGCCCGTGCCGTGTAAGCAGCACTCAGAGGCCGCAGGGACTGGAATGGGGACACCTTTGCAGGGCGGGGGGCAGCGTTACTTGGCCTCCCACACCCCACAGCGGCCTGCTGAGGCCGTCGCTGCCCGAGACGGCTCGGCAGGCCGCGGCTCTCCCTTCTCCTGAGCCCGTGAGGCTGCAGGAGGGCCATTCAGACGCTGAGATGCACTCGGCGACCAGGCAAGTCCTGTACTCTTCCGAGATGTTACACTGGTGTGGAAAAGAGTGAACTTTGGATCAGGGCCCGCGCTGCACCTTGCTGGGGGCATGTGTGTTGATGCCTGGATTCACTGTTTTTCTGTGGCCTGATGGCTCTGGGCAGCCTCATTCTCCTCATCTGTACATTGAAGACAGAACAGCTCGTGGGTTAGATGATGTCACCTGGGTGAAATGGCCCAGCAAGGGTCAGTGCATGGGTTTCTCATTCAGGGTGAGTTCCTGGTCCCCACAAGGAGAAGTCACATGAGCAAGGTCAGGAGACATGAGGACGGAGTGTGTTAATACCCAAGAGAAACTGCACTGAGAGGTGTGCAAATAATTGACTCACTGATACGACATACATTTATCGAATGCCTGCCTGCGCCAGGAAGCTGGGCTGGGGAAGGGAAGGAAGGGCAACCACACATAGCACTCCTGCTGTGGAGGAGGGGAGCCAGACAGACATGTGAACGGTCACTTCCAAGTTGTGGGCTGAAATGAGGAGGAGTAGGAATGCCTCTCACACGTATTTATTTGTATTTTCATAAGTAATGTGTTGAAAATTCATGAGGGTCTGTGTTCCTGAATCTGTCCTGTATTGTCAGCTCATCTTCCGTCTCTCCCCCACTTGGTGGCTGGTCACGGGTCCCCAGACCCCTCAGTTCTTCCTTGTAGGTCCCTGAAGCCCCTCAGTGGTCAGTGGCAGAGCGGGGTCCACGGCCCTCTCTCCACACGGCCCCTCGCTTACAGAGCTGCACCAGGTGGGCCAGCCACCGAACTCACAGCTCACGGGGACACCAGCAGGTGACAGTCATCTGCGTTCGCCCTGATGGGGACTCAGGGTTTTATTTCCCTCCCCCGTCTCTCTCCTGAATCCGGTCTCACAGCCCCACAGTGCTTACTCATGTGTATTCCCCGAGGACACCTGCAGCCTGTGCTGTGCTCCCGCCCCCACCCAGACACACACCGCGCCCCCCCGTCTGCTTACCGTTCCCCACTCTGGGAACTGGATCTCTGCACCTCTCTTCTCCTCACCCTTCCCTGTGTTAGCCGTGGAGACGGAGGCCTGCCAACAGGGCCGGTGACGCGCCCACAGGGGCGCTGGGCGGAGGGAGGCCCCGGGTCTCCCCCTTGGCGGTGAGTTGAACGGTGGGCTCCCTGCTGAGTGCTGGTTGTAAAACTTCTCTTCCTTGGGTGACAGAAATTTTGCATAGACCCCCCACATGGAAACTCACATTTGATTTTCTTGTATGATTATAACATGTTTCCTATTTTAAATCGGTAAAAGAACAAATGTGTTAAGTGAGCATTTGCTTATTAGCTTGGAAACTTAAGTCTCATTTTAATGGTGATTTTATAGGAAAAGAAATATTGGCTAGGTTCCAGTTAACTTATAAATGGGCTTTAGGGAAGCAACCTGTTAGTTGAACTGCTTGTAAGTTTTTCACCTTGGTAGAATTCTAGAACTGAGGTTAAAATTCATCATCACTGGTAGTACTTTGTTTACTTTCTAATCCGGTGAGCTCATGAACTAATTTAACAGGTGATAACTCTAAGTCAATGAGATAAATGGTACAATTTTGAGATTGGACAGAAAGGAGGTGAGAACCTTCATTCGATTCAGTTCAGTTGCTCAGTCGTGTCTGACTCTTTGCGACCCCATGGACTGTAGCACGCCAGACTTCCCTGTCCATCACCAACAGCTGGAGCTTACTCAAACTCATGTCTGTCAAGTCAGTGATGCCATCCAACCATCTCATCCTTGTAGTCCTCTTATCCTTCTGCCTTCAATCTTTCCCAGCATCAGGGTCTTTTCAAATGAGTCAGTTCTTTGCCTCAGGAGGCCAAAGTACTGGACTTTTCAGCTTCAGCATCAGTCCTTCCAGTGAATATTCAGGACTGATTTCCTTTAGGATTGACTGGTTGGATCTACTTGCAGTCCAAGGGACTCTCAAGAATCTTCTCCAACACCACAGTTCAAAAGCATCAATTTTTCAGCACTCAGCTTTCTTTATAGTCCAACTCTCATCCATACATGACCACTGGAAAATCCATAGCTTTGACTAGACGGACCTTTGTTGGCAAAATAGTCTCTGCTTTTGAATATACTGTCATAGCTTTTCTTCCAAGGAGCAAATGTCTTTTAATTTCATGGCTTAGGTGAGAGCCTTAGATACCTCATCTCAGTAAAGAAAACAGAGAATTTAGAGGTGCCAGGAGGGAAGGGTGAGGATGGAGGGAGAATAAAACCAAGTCAGTTCTGTGTGGGGAGGGGCTGGCTGCTCCCTTGTCTGCTCCTCAGACCTGTGGCGTTCGTCTTTTGGTGGTCTCAGTCCTGACCCCGGTGGGACTTCAGTGGGATGTCACAGGTGGATGGTTCAGGATCGAAGCCTCACAGGCTCACAGGTGTACATAATTCAGCCGAGATGGACACGGAGCTCCTCGAGGGCCCGGGAGACATCGCCACGGGGACCTGCAGTGAGATGGCAGAGGAGGAGCTGGTGTGGCAGCACAGACGTGGGAATTCCCAGGAAAAGGAACTGGTGAGGTGGGGGTTGGGGGGGAAGCAGAGTAGTGATGCGAGCCCCCCCGCCCCCGCCCCCGCCCCATCACACTCACCTGGGGCTTTCGAGGAGCAGGCCTGCTTTCCACTCCCTTGCCTCCGCCCACGGTTACCAGCCAGTAATGGGGGATGGGGCCAGCACCGGTGTCTGTCACCTTTTCCACTCCATGACTCTCAGTTGCAGCTGGGCCAGAGAGGGCTGGGCCCCAGAGGTTCCGAACTGGACCGTAGCTGCGCCGAGCCCCACCGCCCCACGTCTCAGAGGCTGCTGAGGTGGGTGAGTGATGTGTCGGGCGCCAGGGGCTCCATGGCAGGAGTGGCTGCCTGGTGTGAGAGGGCCGGTGGCAGAGGGCCTCCTGTCCGCTCTCCCTGCAGGCTCTCACTGGGTCAAACTACAGCCCTGGCTATGACTGCTGCTCGGCGCAGTAGGAAGTGGCTGGAGAACCACAGCCACAGGAGGAAGGTCTCTGAATTCACAGCCGTGGCGTGCCCGGGTCCACAGCTGGCCTTGGTGAGGAAGGAGGGTATGGGGTCCCGGCTGGGCTTGAACCCAGAGCTTCCTACAGCCCCTTCAAAGCGTGTCCAGAGTGGAAAGGTCAAGGGTGTGGACATCACAGGTGGTGGCACCTGGAGCCTTGGTTCCTAAGGCTGTTACGTACATGACACAGTTACACCCTGTCAGGGCATTTCTACCTGTGGCCTCACTCAGACATCACATGGGTGTGGAGAGAAAACCATGGTCCTCTCTGGTCTTCCCGCTCTCCTCTCTGGAGGTCTGACATTTCTGTGCGTCATCCCGTGGGTACCATCTGCCCCATCTAGACGTACGTCTCTGAAGCGTGCATTCAGTTAACGAGGCTTGTTTGGAAGGCCCTGTGCACAGGGTAATGAATCACTTGTGGTTTTCATTTCAGTCTCCTATTATTTCCCTCTTCGTATTCATGGTATCTGATGTCACCCTTTTAGACTTCAGGTCAGCCTGATGCTGGGTGTCCGTGTGCAGTGGGGAGGGCTGCCTCCAGCCTTCTGGGGGTAGGTGAGGTCTGTGGCACATTTTTTATTTTTATTTTTATTTTTTTTAATTTTTCCATTTATTTTTATTAGTTGGAGGCTAATTACTTTACATCATTGCAGTGGTTTTTGTCATACATTGAAATGAATTAGCCATGGATTTACGTGTATTCCCCATCCTGGTCCCCCCTCCCACCTCCCTCTCCACCCGATCCCTCTGGGTCTTCCCAGTGCACCAGGCCCGAGCACTTGTCTCATGCACCCAACCTGGGCTGGTGATCTGTTCCACCCTAGATAATATACATGTTTCGATGCTGTTCTCTTGAAACATCCCACCCTCGCCTTCTCCCAGAGTCCACAAGTCTGTTCTATACATCTGAGTCTCTTTTTCTGTTTTGCATATAGGGTTATCATTACCATCTTTCTAAATTCCATATATATGTGTTAGTATACTGTAATGGTCTTTATCTTTCTGGCTTACTTCGCTCTGTATAATGGGCTCCAGTTTCATCCATGTCATTAGAACTGATTCAAATGAATTCTTTTTAATGGCTGAGTAATATTCCATGGTGTATATGTACCACAGCTTCCTCATCCATTCGTCTGCTGATGGGCATCTAGGTTGCTTCCATGTCCTGGCTATTATAAACAGTGCTGTGATGAACATTGGGGTGCACGTGTCTCTTTCAGATCTGGTTTCCTCGGTGTGTATGCCCAGAAGTGGGATTGCTGGGTCATATGGCAGTTCTATTTCCAGCTTTTTAAGAAATCTCCACACTGTTTTCCATAGTGGCTGTACTAATTTGCATTCCCACCAACAGTGTAAGAGGGTTCCCTTTTCTCCACACCCTCTCCAGCATTTATTGCTTGTAGACTTTTGGATAGCAGCCATCCTGACTGGCGTGTAATGGTACCTCATTGTGGTTTTGATTTGCATTTCTCTGATAATGAGTGATGTTGAGCATCTTTTCATGTGTTTTTGTGCCATCTGTATGTCTTCCTTGGAGAAATGTCTGTTTAGTTCTTTGGCCCATTTTTTGATTGGGTCATTTATTTTTCTGGAGTTGAGCTGGAGGAGTTGCTTGTATATTTTTGAGGTTAGTCCTTTGTCTGTTGCTTCGTTTGCTATTATTTTCTCCCAATCTGAGGGCTGTCTTTTCACCTTGCTTATAGTTTCCTTTGTTGTGCAAAAGCTTTTAAGTTTCATTAGGTCCCATTTGTTTATTTTTGCTTTTGTTTCTAAAATTCTGGGATGTGGGTCATAGAGGATCCTGCTGTGATTTGTGTCGGAGAGTGTTTTGCCTATGTTCTCCTCTAGGAGTTTTATAGTTTCTGGTCTTAGATTTAGATCTTTAATCCATTTTGAGTTTATTTTTGTGTATGGTGTTAGAAAGTGTTCTAGTTTCATTCTTTTACAGGTGGTTGACCAGTTTTCCCAGCCCCACTTGTTAAAGAGGTTGTCTTCACATTTTTTATTTTTAAAGCAGGTTGCCTGAACAGAAGAGTGTACTTCCAGGGGGGCTGGAGTTGAGGGGTGTGGTGTGCGGCATTGTGCTCTGTGTGACCTGGAAGTGCTGCAGAGATCTGAGCACCTCTGAAGAGCCCCAGGAGCAGGGAGCCCTGACCGGTCTGGCCCAGCCCTTCGACACAGAGGTCACCTTGGGGGCCAGGGTGAATCAGTGGCCTGCTGAGGGTCTCCTGGCTGGTGAGTGCCTCCGGGCCTGACCCTCTTGTGTACGGCAAGCCCCCGGGGGGCGGCAGAGCCCATGTCAGCCAGACCACTATCTCTCCGACAGGTTGCAGCCCCAGCACCATTAGTATCATCCTAAGTGAAGTGCAGGAAAAGCAGTTTCATCATTTCATAGTCATTTTATTTTTTAAGGTAATCTTTTTCACTGATAAAAAGCATTTCCAAGTAATTTTTCTTCTGTGATGAATTTTTCTTGGGGCACTGTGTAAGCTTTTCTGTCATGCAGTCTTTTAAGGAAAGCTAGTTTGGAGGTTTTTCAACGGATCAGTTTTGTGCTCAGTATGGTAGGGTTAGAGTTGAAGATGACGCAGTGCCTCTCCTTAAGGAGCTGGGGGAAATGGATTTGCAGTGTGTTAAAGGTGTTTTCTTTGTGGTATACAGAGGACTGTATCATTAAGAGCAGAGAATGTTTATTTCTGGCCTTGAGAAACTTCACAGAGGAATTGCTGTTTAAACCTGTCTTGAAGCAGAAGCATGAATTGCCTGCAGGACAAGAACAGAAGGGCATCAGAGGAGGGGACAGCCTGAGCAAAGACCAGGAGGCCTTCTTGAGAGCCTCAAAGAAGCAGTCTGTAGGCATGGTTCTCAGAACCCTGGGGAAGGTAGGTAGGTCAGCAGGCCCCACCTCTGGGGTGAAGGACCTTGGACTGCTTCCTATTTGTGCTGAGAATGCGGAGGAAGGGATTTAAGCCAGGGAGTCAGTTCCTCAGATTTCCAGGTTACAGAGAGTCTGCTAAAACCTCATGGTTCAAGCTCCAAAGTCCAGGTATGTAAACTCATCTTTGTGATCCAGGATGATAGATGAGATGGGAGAGAGAGGCTGGCCTTGGACAGAGCAAAATCATGGATAACATGGAAGGAATCAAAACTTGGTACAAACTGAGTTTGATCTGCCTAAAATTATGTGTAAAATTTAGCAGCATGTTGAAGATTTACAGATACATTGTTTTGTACTTTAAGCCTCAATATTATATTACATGACTGAAAATGGTCCTGGTGGCCTGTCCTTGGCTGTGGGGCAGGAACTCAGCAGCCCACCCCTGAAGCCATTTACCTCAGACTGGGACTCGAACCCAGCCACAACCCAGTTTGGGACTTGAGCCCACGAGGCCAGGACTCAGACCTGGCCAGAACCCTGCTTAGAACTTGAACCGACACGGCCAGGACTCAAACCCAGCCAAAACCCACAGTCTTCCAACTGAGATCACAGACCTGGCTTCAGGACCAAATGAAATTCAGGTTCTTGATGTCTCATCGCAGAAACAATTCAGTGAGAGACTAAGTGATAGGTAAGAAGTGGATTTATTCAGAGAGACACACACTCCACGGGTAGAATGTGGGCTGTTGCAGGGGTGAGTGCAGCCTGTGTGGTGTGGTTAGCGATTATGGGCTGGGTAATTTCATAGGCTAGTGAGGGGGAGGATTATTCCAACTATTTTGGGGAAGGGGCAGAGATTTCCAGTGGTTGGGCCACTGCCCACTTTTTGGTCTTTGATGGTTGGCCTTGGAACTGTCATGGCGCCTCTGGGTGTATCATTTAGCTTGCTGAAATGAGCTTGTACTAAGGATCAAGATCTAGTCATGTTGACTTGTCCCGGTTCTTGGACCCATTTGGTTCTGTTCAGTTTATGTTGTGCCCTCGGGCCGTGTCATTCTTTCAGAGGTTGTGCCCTGCCCCCTTCCCTCCTGTTTCACCCCTCCTCACCACTTCCCCTGCAACTGGGGTGGCGATGGGAGAGATGGCCCTCTATAGGGGGCCCTGTATGTCCCCCTTTGTTGCCAGTAATTCCAAATAACAGTATGGAGTGCACTTACCATGGTAATTCCCCGCCCCCCGAAAGTATATCCCCCCCCCCGCCCCACACACAAAGGCACTATTTTCTCATTGTTTACCAAGGCTAGTCCAGCAAATGTTTAATCCACCCACCAGTAGTCAAGGTTTGAAGGCAGAATCTTACTAAAATCAACCCTAAATAGCTTGGTGGTAACCAGCCTTCTTTGCAATGAGATTTTGCCCACGTTTCTCTCCTTTAATGTAATGAGTCACACTTGCCACTTGAAACATTTTTAATCTCAGAACTTTGTAGAGAAGTTAATTAGAATGGGCGCACAGGACAATGAGGATTCATAGTGGAGAAGCTTTTTAAAAAATATTTGAGTTTCGATAGTTCCTGGAGCTTGACTTTTGCTTCTTCGGGGCCTGGTTAGATAGGTAGCCCCAAGATTCAGGTCGGGTCTTGCTGGGACAGGTGCCAGTGCTGACTGCCTGCTCGCAGCGGTGTGCCCGGCTCCATGCTGAGTGGGGCGCCCTGGAGCGGGAACCCTCTGCGCCATGGGGATGAGCCTCTTCCTTCATCACCACTCACCCCACCAGGTGTCCAGTCCCCGGCTCTGGAGTCCGGGTGGCCCCACTCTGGGTGGAAGGGGTGGGGGAGAGGCTGCTGCAGCAGGAACCCTGGGGAGGGCGGGCTTCCCTGGGAACTCCTCTGCTCACAGGGGAGTGGGGCCCACCACGTCTGAGCTCACGGTTACCGAGGTGGCCCCGTGGTGCCCTGTCACGGGCCTGGTCACAGTCGCCTGGCCTCTCCACTTCCTACCGTCTGCAGGTCCTCATGGGACTCGGGGCCATTCCTTTCCGGGCTAGGTTGTCAGTGCCGGCTTTGAATAGAAATGTTGCCCTTCATCGAGGGCTCACTCCCTGCTGCAGGCCTTCCTGTTCTCTGTACTCTGAGCCCCTCCGTGGTTCTGGATCCAGCCGCTCGGCCTGAGCGCTCCCAGCACCTCGTTTCTGAAGGGCTAGGAGTCCCCGGCCCTGAGGGCGTGGGCCGGGCTTGCTGCTGTGCTGGTGGTGCTGATTGTCTGGGATCACTGGGCGACAGATGACAGACAGCCCGAGGCAGAGGTGCTGGTTACCTTGGGGTCAGAGGGGGACTGAGGAGCAGGGGGTTAAACGAGTTACCCTGACCGCCGAGAGGCAGAGCTGGGGCTGGAGCACAGGTGGCCTGGCTGCGGGCCTGTGAGGCGGGATCCCGTCCAGGGCGGGGCGGGTCTCGCTCCAGCTGCCACACCCGCTCCCCCGCAGACAGCCCTTGTCCCGAGCAAGCCGGTGTGGAAGCACAGCCTGGATGGGAGGCGCCGGGGCCCACAGCGTCCCGCTCTCAGCAGGCGACTGCTCCAGGCCCGTTTCCAGAATCGAGGGCGTTGTCCCTGTGGCCTCTGTCTGAGGTGACAGAATCGGCAGGCTCAGGACCCAGCCCCCCGGGCGAGGGCTCACCTCTGCCCCGTGTCGGGGGGGCTCTGCCCGCGCCGGAGCCCGGGGACGGCACTGGGTCCCATGGGAACGGCCGTCCCTGCCCTCCTTGGGGGTTGACTTCCCAGCCCAGGGGGGGCTCTGCCCCCCACACCCTCCTGTCCCTCCTGTTTCACTGTGCCCGTCCTGTGAGGGCCCCCTGACTTGGCGGCCCGGCCCCACAGCGGAAGGAGAGGTCAGGCTGAGCAGGGACGACTCAGGTGGTCCTGTAGCCCCTGGGCCTCCGTCCGCTGGGCCTGGGAGTGGGCTGCCTGGAGGTGGTCCTCCTCTCTTATTCCCCAGTCCTGATCTTCCAGACGGGGGGCTATTTTGTGGCCCATTTAAGAGTTGCCTTTAATCTTCCTAAAATAAGGTGTGCTATTTTGGATGTTGCTGTCTGTGAGAGGGATGTGTGTTTAAAGCTAAAATAGGCTGTGCTTTTTAATTTGTGGGTGTTTCCTTTTTCCGTGTCAGCCACCGTGTCCTTCCCCCTACCTGAGCGGGCAGCCCCAGGCCTCCCTGAACCCGCAGACCCGGCTGCTGAAGGCACTTCCCCCTCAGGCCCTGGGGCTCCTGCTTGTCAGGGGGGCTTCCGCAGTGTCTGCCCTTCGTGCCCCTGCCCGGAGCACCAGGTCGTTTGTTCAGGAGCGTGGGTGGGCCAAGGGCGCTCTCACAGCCCAGCTGCCCGTGGCTTCCCCCGGCCTGGGCTGCAGCGCGAGTCCGCTCGGGGTGGGCAGGCCTGGCCCCACTGGGTGCCTTGTGGACAGCTGTCGCGTGTCACACGCGTGTCACATGCGTGTCACACGCCCGCCTTGCTTGGCTTTTATGCAGTTCATTTTGGCTGCACTTGGCCGTCTTGCTGTGAGCCTGTGCGGGCCTCTCTTCCAGGCGACTCCTCTTGTTGCCGAGCGTAGGCGCTAGACTCGTGGGCTTCATAGTTGTGGCCCTCGGGGCTGTTTGCCCCTCAGCGTGCTGGATCTTCCAGGACTGGGGATCGAACCTGTGTCTCCTGCATTGGCAGGTGCGCTGTTCACCACTGAGCCACGAGGAAAGTGCCTGTCTTGGCTTTTTTTGGTGGTCCCCAGCGGCCGTAAAGAGGGAGCCCGTCGGGGAGGTTGAGCTGGGTAGGGGTGGGAGGTTGGGCGGGACTGCCGAGGACGCCACGTGATTACGCTCGTCTGCCTGCTCAGTGTGTGCAGTCCTGCTGTCACTGCTGGCCCACACCCTGCCTTTCTGCCCTGGAGACAGTTTTCAGTTTATTGGAGAGGGAGGCCTGAGTTTTCATAGAGCATTAGGAGTTAATTGGAGGCATTTGTGTGACGCTTCCACCTCTTTCCGAGAACAGGCTGGATGTGCTTCCCCCAGCTTCAGCTTCTCCCAGTCACCTGGAGGACCTGTTCCAGGCCCTGCCCTCAGCGAGCTGTGATAGGTCCCGGCAACGCTGATGCTGACTATCCCTGGACCTTACTTCACGCTGTCCTGGAGTCCTGGTTCTGTCCCATCCCCCACTCAAGATACTAGCTTATTTTTAGCACTTTCCCTAAACTGGGCTACTTCTTTTAGTGTTAATTGATAGCAGCTCTGATTCAAGGACGGTGGGGAGGGCTTCCTGTCCCTGCTGTAATTGGCAGCAGTTCTCATGGGAGGGGAGGGGAACAGAACCTGCTGTGCTTTTGCCAGGAGCCC